GTTTGAATTTTTTTCTCCCATCCCATCTCCATGCCTCCCCTCGCCCGCCTGCCCGCCCTCTCTCGGAGGCCTGCTGTCTCTCTCCCCGTCTCTGCTCACCGTGGACCCTGTGCTCTGCCTCCGTCCCTCCCTCCTCACTCCGTCCTGGGCTCCCCTCCCGGGCTCCCTTCCCCTCTCCTTCCCTCCCTCCCTCCTCGCCCTGGAGGCTTGTCCTCCTCTGGCTCTGCCTGCCCCTCCCCAGTTTGGGGACCCTTTCTCCGTGTCTTTGGCTTTGTCTGACCCGGCTCTTTGTCTCCGTCTGTCTGTCTGTTTCTCTATCTGTATCTTAGTCTCTCTTACTGTGTCTCTGTGTCTGCCTCCTCTCTCTCGCTCTCTCTCTCTCTCTCTCTCTCTCTCTCTCGCTCTCTCTTGGCCGCCTCCCCCGCCCGCCCCTCAAAAAAAAGTCTCCCCGCCCGCAGGCCCTGGGACCCGCCCCGGTCCCGCCGCCTCTGAGCTTCCCCGCCCTCGCTAGCTGGCACGCTGGCACCGCAGCATCTGTAGCCGTGGACCTTGTGTGGGACGGAGCCCCGTGACGCCCGCTCAGGTGTCAGACAGACAGACAGCGAGGGCCTCTCCCTCCGCGGCATCCGGGCCTCGTCACCTCCTCCCTGCAGACCTGTGTCCTCACCCGCCTGCCCGCCCGCGACCTGTCCACCCATCCCACACGTCCGCATCCCATTTTAATTTCCGTCACCTTGTCGGGGTGGGAGAGGGTGCGGGCGTCGGGCCACTCAGACTGACCTTCCCCTGCCGCCTGCCTTCGTGGCCCAAACAGGAGGAGCGTATCCGCCGTGGGGATGACCTGAGGCTGCAGATGGCCATAGAGGAGAGCAAGCGAGAGACCGGGGGCCAGGAGGAGGTGAGTGTGGGGAGGTGAGTGGGGAGGAGGTGTGGGCCCTGCCCTGGGTGCATGGGGCATGTGTCCCAGCTGCCTGTCCTGTGGCCTCGCACTGTGTGTGTCCCCGGTGTCTTCACAGCAAGGCCAGCCTCCCAGGCCGTGGCTTTGGGTCACGAGACTGGTCCTGGCTCCCAGGGTGGGGACGGACCCCCGGCCAGTGAGGGGCGGATAGCTCCTGGCTGGGTGGCCAACACTCATGCCAGTGCTCCCGCACAGCTCAGCGTCCCCGGGACTTTGACTGACTACGCACAGCCCCGGCCACTACGGCACCCGGCCACGGGCCTCCGTGCTGCCTTCTCCGTGCTGCCTGCATCCTGGGGGGTGGTCACCTCCACATCCCAGGACAGGGCTCTTGTCGCCGAGTCCAGCCAGGACGCGGGACCTGTGGGGGAGGGAGTGCAGCGCGGGGAAGCCTGGAGCGGGCAGTGACGCGGAGGCGCTGGCCCAGGCCGAGAGCAAGCGAGAGACCGGGGGCCAGGAGGAGGTGAGTGTGGGGAGGTGAGTGGGGAGGAGGTGTGGGCCCTGCCCTGGGTGCATGGGGCATGTGTCCCAGCTGCCTGTCCTGTGGCCTCGCACTGTGTGTGTCCCCGGTGTCTTCACAGCAAGGCCAGCCTCCCAGGCCGTGGCTTTGGGTCACGAGACTGGTCCTGGCTCCCAGGGTGGGGACGGACCCCCGGCCAGTGAGGGGCGGATAGCTCCTGGCTGGGTGGCCAACACTCTTGCCAGTGCTCCCGCACAGCTCAGCGTCCCCGGGACTTTGACCGACTACGCACAGCCCCGGCCACTACGGCACCCGGCCACGGGCCTCCGTGCTGCTTGCATCCTGGGGGGTGGTCACCTCCACATCCCAGGACAGGGCTCTTGTCGCCGAGTCCAGCCAGGACGCGGGACCTGTGGGGGAGGGAGTGCAGCGCGGGGAAGCCTGGAGCGGGCAGTGACGCGGAGGCGCTGGCCCAGGCC